AACGAAATAAATGAAACCTACATCCAAGAAGTTGCTCTTCTGTTCCTGACTCCAAGGAAGAGACTCCCGCTCAGTCACCAGTTGTTTTCCAGCAAGTTCTGACACGGCCTCAGCATCCGCTCAGCACGGCGCTGCCTGTTGTCAGGCTTCATGTGCCGAAGGTCAGCACCTGTGACCCCCAAAGGCCAGACCTTCATTCTGACAGATGGGGACACTGAGCAAAGATCACACAGGAAGCAGAAGCTGTTCCCACAAGTGCCCCCAAGGACCTCCATGGGGATGGGTGCCAGGCTCCAAACTGCTCTTCCTGCAGGATGGAAGCGTCATCCCTGCCCACCTGAATTCCAGGCCACACTCGCTCCCCACCATGACTCGGGGCAAACTCACTTAGAATCTACAAACTCTCCAAAGGTGAGCACACAGAATTAACCTCTCAAGGGTGAAATCCAAAGAGATCTACGCAGAGAAGGGGACAGAAAGCTTAGCCCACACACCAAAGATGCCTATCCCTGCGGCCCGTCCCTTCTCCCTGCCCTGTGCCCAGGGAAGGCTGGGTTCGGAAGACCTTTGTCCTCTTCCTCTTTTCCAGTGGTCTCCAGACACCTCCAGGGTTAGGACAAGGTATCTGGAAAGTTTACTCCTCTGAGCAGATGGCTCCCAGCCCACTAAGAAAAGCACAGTCCTCCCTCAAAGAAAGTGGTCAGAGTTTGAAACAGTCCAGAGCCCAGTGACTTCCCAACTACTGCCAGCGCGAGGGTGTCAGTGTCCAGGCTTCCCAATGGGAAGCCTTCTCCAGCACCTTCCAGAAGGTTCGCCCATCCAATCACCTTGCGTAGGTGCCCCAGGAGCCTGGACCTAGGGAGGAGGGGCTGCCAGGCCCTCCCTGAAGAGCAGGGAGCCTGGTGGGCGCCAATCACCAGGAAACATGGGAAACAGATGTGCATGAGGCCCTGACAGGCGCGCGATGACAGACGAGCTCTGCAGGCCTCAGATGTCAGCTCAAGAAAAGAAAGGCAGTGGCAGCGGCAACACCTGTTCTGGGCTGGGAGGCCACACTCGGGGGGCCTGGCCAGGCGTCCCCACGGCGAGGGCTGGGGTGTGTTAGGTAAACAGCTGCACGCTCCATTACTCAGAAGGCTCCCCGGACGGAGCGCTGGAAGAGGGAAGGGGGCGCACCCGCCAACTGGCTTGCAGGGAGAGCAAATCGATCATGCAGCAAACCCATCTTGGCTGGGAGGCTTCTCCGGCAGCAGGAGCGGTTGGCTGAACACCTGAGCAGTGTGGGAGGGGCAGACAAAGGCTGCAAGGCATAGAGCAAAGAAACTGGGGTGGCAGAGCCAACCAGCAGGGGCTTCTTGGGGCCCTTCTCAGCTGCTCTATGCTGGGATGGGGGAGGACCATCACAGCTGCCCAGAGGGGACAGGCAAGCAGGGCCAGGAACACAAACAGACTCCTGGGACCAACGCTAGTGGGCTTTACTAGCTGAGCAACCTTGGGCAAGTGATCTGACCTCTCTCTGGCCTCATTTCTTCCTCCGGGAGCCAGGGGTGCTGCAGGGATTCCGTCAGTGTGAACACAGGAAGGGATACCCAGCCTCGGACATGCAAAACACTGCTCTCCCAATGCCAATGTCCCTGGCACGATCATCCCCACTTCTCAGTGCAGCAAGTGAGGCTCAGAGAGAGCAAGGGTCTCACCAAGGTCACACAGCCAGCTCCCTCAGCTCCTGTCTGAAGGCCAAGTTGGGATCTTGCCATGGCTTTGCAGAGCTTCCCCAGTGGGGAGGTTCCTGGCCCCATGAGGGTGGGCTGTAGTCTCCCCGGCCCAGCCAGGCCCCACTGGGGCCCTACCCAGGCAGCCAGCTTGGAGGCGTGGTGGCCACTGAGCAGGGCGCTCTCCGGCAGCCAGGAGCCCAGCTGGAGGGAAGTCACAAAACTGCCCCAAACCCTCTCCTTTCTTCCTTCTCCTCACATTTCCTTTCACGGTGCCTTAAAGTTGATTCACTCATGAATGAAACTTAAGAGGAAACATCTGAGGCATCCTAGGAGGTGGTATAGCTGAGGTTCTGGAACACTCTGTCCCAGCAGCGGCTTCCCTGTGGCCACCTGCCAGTGCCCCTAGTCACTATCCCAAATCTGAAACCACACAGCAAAGAGGGGCGCAGGAACGTGCGTGAGAGTCGGGACTCAGGCGCTGGCATGGGGATCCAGGCGGGGACCTTTCCTGGTGGCCTCAGCGCTGTGCCCCCTCGACACCCCCAGAGCCGCTATGGGAGGCCCTGCGCCCCCCTCACCCCCCGCTGCTTGCTGCGGGGAGCCCAGCCATGCATTCTGTTCCCCATCCCACCCTGGAGTGCAGGCGTCGCTCCCTCCTGCCTCGTTGACAGTTGTGGGCCCATGGTGTGACCCTCGGCTCTGAGCTGGCCCCCAGACCCGTGTCTGGAACAGTGCCTGGCTCAGAAGAGGCGCTCCATAAATATTTGTTGAATGAATGGGGCCGGGTGGAGGGGGGGAGGGAGGGAGGGAGGGCAGAAGGCTGCATTTCCGGCATCCCACTGACTGTCAATCAGAGTTCTGAGGGGGAGCTGAGGCTTGCTTTTCCCACTGTCTATGGAGCCTGAACCGCACGGCGGCCCCCACCACATGCAGCCCCAGCCCACGGCCTCTCCACCCGTCTGGAAGGCTGCCAGGCCCTGGGCGGATCTTTTCCCGGCCCATTCCAACCCTTCTTTCAAGAGCTTTTTATTGCTCCCTGGTGCCTTCAACTGCAAATCTGACCTCCTTTTCCTGGTGTCAAGGCCTCTGGTTCTCTCCAGCCTACTTCCCCCTTCACCCCAGGGGCAGGCCTGCCCAGGGGAGGCTGTAGGGCTCCTCCCTGCCACTGGGCCTTCTCTCCAGCTCTACCCGGAAGCCTTAAACTCTCCCACCCCTCTCTCTCCTCCCCCCAACCCCACCATGCACAAGTCCTGCCCATCTCCCGAGTCTGCACCTCCTCCAGGCAATGGGATAGAGTCACAGTCCTGGGGTTAAGACCCACCTGAACCCCTACTCAGCTGACTGTCACCCAGGTCATCTGACTTCTCTGAGTCTTAATTTTCTCATCTGTAAGATGGGAATAAGGCCGCTAGGACCGTGATAATGAGCAACCAGATAACTTGCTTGAAAAACGAGCCAAGTTCAGTATGCCAGTCCCCTTCCCCAGCTCACGCTGACCCCTTCTGGGCAGGCGCCGGCACTTCAGGCGGCCCTCAGTCCCCTCCCCAGCTGGACTGGGAAACTGCAGCTTCTTTGGTTCTCCAGTTGCCATCAGAAGCTCCCAGTGGGCCTTGCGTCAGCTCCTGACCAGCAGACAAATTCAAGGAGAACATTCAGCCCAGTTTGAACGTGATGCAGAAAACATTTTGAGAGCCCTCTGACTCCCTGAAGAGGTAGCATCGCCAAGGCTAAAATCTGCACCCAGCCTGCAGACCCGAAGTCTTGCCAAGAACCCACCGGCTGCCGAGAAGACTCTGCCCCAAGCTCAGGCCGTGCTGGGAGCACTTCAATGCTCCAATTCACTGAATCCTCCCCACGTCCCTACAGGCATGAGATATGTTTCCAACACGTTTCCACTCCTCAGCCAAGGAAAAAAGCTCGGGGAGGGTGAGGAGCGCTCTCATTGACGTGTGTCACCAAGAGAAGGGGCAGCGCGGGGATGGAGCATGCAGTCCTGCTCCGAAGCTACCTCTCTATCCAGTGCCGCCCACCTGGGAAGTGTGGCACACCAGATTCCCGTCCACAGACGCCAAGGGGTGTCACCCCGAGGTGGGGTGATATGCTTGTCTGCTGAAAATAAGAGGTCATCCCTCAAAGCCCCTAAAGATAGCTCTCAAGTCTAAAGCAGATGAAGGAACCCTGGGGAGAACAGGAGGGCACAGACTGGATGCCTGTGGGGTGGGGGTCCACTTATAGGTGGCCACCAGAGTACACATGATCCCTGGAGACACCCCCCCCCCAAGAAACATGCACGTATTTGTGGGAGCTAAGATCAGCAACCTTTCAAACGGATGAAGCAACCATCCCTGAACAGGTGGGGGACACGGTCCCCATTCACAGGTCTCTGCTGGCCCCCTGCCAGAGGCTACCACATCACATCGGGCGTCTGATTAAAACTAGCGGGTCCAACTGTCTTTGATGGAAATTAGAACCCATGGCTCTGGTGGCTATGATGGTGATCTCGACTCAAAACCATCTACCTCCCGGGGGGCAGGTTCCTGCTTCCGGCTTTGCAGAGCTGGCTCCAAAATTAACTGCTCCCGTCTGGCTTCTCCCAGGCAGGCAGCGTGAAGGCAGGCGCCGTATGAACCTGGAGCCCGCCAGGCCTCCCGCCTCCTCCTGCACAGCTGAATTACAGAGAAGAAAGATCCTCTTCCCACCAAGGGAAAAAGTCTGTTTAGGCCACCATCCCCCGGGTCCCAGACCCCCACTTCTGGAAATCTGTTTCCATCTGCTGTTAAGCAACCAGAGTCTCCAAGGAAAAAGTGTGAACTTGGGTGGAAAACTCTGGGAAAGCTAAGCCATGTGGGACTAGCGTGGAGAGGAACTGCCACCTCTGATGTGTTTCAAACCGGGTAAGTACGGAGACCTCTGGGTGACCTGCATGGCTGGACTAATTACCAATGTTATCAGGCGGATGACAGACGTGCCCCGAACTTCCTCCGTTTGATAGATTCCACTGCAAACACACTCAAGTTCAGGCCCCTGCCTGCTGTTTTCAGCAGCACCAGATTCTTCCACAAGACCACTCCTGGCCCCTTGAAGGTCTCTGCCCTGCCACAGGCTTCTGAGACCAGCCAGACCAAAGCACCCGCCATCCCTGGTGACCCAAGGAGGGCACCCCCTCCCCCCCACCGCCAATGGAACGCTCCACACAGAATCAGTGCAAATGCCTCCCCAGCAGAGGAACAGAAAACAACATCTCTTTCTATCTGTGCAAACTGCAGTCTAGGAACTGCTGCTTACCTTCATCACCGCTGTTGCCGGGGAGCTCCAGCCCATGGGTCCTTGGCGGCTGAGCCCTTGGCCAGCACACACCAGGGTCCCACACTCCACGCAGGCGCCGATGATCAGCTGCCTCCCGTCGTCCACCAGCAGGCTGCGGCTGGCTCGAAGGGTGTAGAGAAACAAGGGCAGCCGGGCCACCCGCACGGCCTGCAGCCCGAGCGACCGCTTCTTCTCCTGCTGGCAGAAGAAGCACACGAACGTCTCCACTTGGTACTGCCGAGACCAGGCGCCGACAGCGTGGTGGGTGCCGCGGGCCTCGTGCTGCAGCCACTGGCCCAGCAGGTCATGGTAGCAAAGCAGGCAGGTGGCCACCAGGCCGGTGGAGTCCGCAGGCCTGGCGCGGGGGGCGGGCGGGTAAACGGTGAGGAAGGGGAAGAAGGGTTCTTTCTCGCCCAGTCGGCTGGTGGGGTTCACATTGAGCTGGAACTCCTTCCCGGGGCCCAGCTCTGCCCCGCAGATGTAGCAGACGGACGTGGAGCCGCCCGGGGCTGTGGCGGGCAGCTCGGAGAGAGCCGGGTCTGAGGCGGAGAAGGCCTGGTGGTACCTGCCCAGGAAGCCCTGCACGGAGGTGATGAGCTCCTCATTCTGGCAGGCCCGGTACAGGGCCCAGACATCCTCCAGGACGCTGAAGCACTTGGGGCAGCTGCGGACCTCACAGCGCTTGTTGGGGCCCCGTGCGTTGGGAGGACAGGGCAGGAGGCCAAGGAAAGGAAAGTGCATGGTGCCCCTGGCGTTGCCATTGAGGATCCTGGAGGCCACTGCCCGGGCATCCGGGGTACAGTCCTCCCCACAGAGGTAGCAGGCCTCTGGCAGGGTCCCAGCGGGCGGGCCCTCGTCCCGGGGCGGCCTGCGGCCCTTGGAGGCCATGCCAGGGGCGTGGCTGTTCAGGGGCACCACGTAGAGCCGCTGCAGGACGGGCACGCTGGCCAACTCGAAGCTTTGCCACTGCTGCATGAGGGAGGAGAAGCAGCACGGGCACACGAGGGTGCTGCCGCCCTCCGAGATGGGCTGCGCCCCGGGCGGCGGGCTGTGCAGCCACAGGAAGGGGAAGAAGGGCGCCTGGGCCAGCTTCTCCTGCTTCTGCACGTGGATCTGGTGCTGCGAGGCCGGGGACAGCGCCGACCCGCAGATGTAGCAGCACAGGCCCTCTGGTGGCCCCGCCGGGCTGTCCCGGGGCGCCCCGGGCGGGCGCCCGCCGCGCTCCCTGTCCTGGGGGCCGCGGGGCCCGGGCGGCGGCGGATCCTTGCGGTCCTCCTCCTCGCTGGTGATGTTCACGTCGCTGTCCTCGGACGCGCCGCCGGCCCCGCGCGCCCCCCGGGCGGCCCGCTGCTCTCGGGGGTGTGCGCGGCGCGGCCCGGCGCGGGCCCTCGCATGCCCTCCGCGGGGGCCCCGCGCGGCGGGGGGCCGGGCCAGGGGTCCGGGACGCCCCTCAGGACGCTGGCGCGGGCCTCGGGCCCCCAGGGCCTGCCGGCCGCCCGGCGCCGCCGCGCGAGGCCGGCCCCGGGCTCCGCGTCCGCGCGGGGCCGCGCGGGGCCCCCGCCGTCCTCCGGCGCCCCCCGCGCGGGGGCCTCGGCCGCCGGCCGCGCCTCCCGGGCCCCGCGCGGCCCCGCGGCCGCCCCCGGGGCGCCGTCCGCGCGGGGGCTGCCGGCGTCGCGCGCGGCCGGGTCGGGCTCCGAGGGGGGTCGGTGTCCGACAGCTCCGACAGCTCCGAGTCGCGGGCCTCGGCGGGCGCGCGGGGCGCGGGCGCGTCGTCCTCCTCGTCGCCGTCGGCCGCGCCGCCCAGCGCGTAGGCGACGTTCCACTCGCGCGGGGCCCCCGCGCGCCGCCCGCCCGCGCCCGCGTCGCACTGGTGCGGCCGCTTGAGCCAGTACATGCGCTTGTCCACCGGCGTGCGGGCGCGCTCGAAGGCCGCCCACTGCTCGCCCAGGAAGCAGCGGCACACGGCGCACACCAGCACGCAGCCGTCGGCCGGGCTCGGGCCGCGCGCGCCGGGCGCCGGCTCCTGCTGCTGCAGGAACGGGAAGAAGGGCTGCGCGCCCGCGCCCGCCGCCGGCCGCTTCACCTGCAGCTTCAGCTCCTTGCCGCGCCCGATGCCGCCGCCGCAGATGAAGCAGGACAGCGGCGCGCCGCCCGCCGCCCGCTCGCCCACGGCGGCCATGAGCCGCTGCTTGCGGGAGACCGGCGCCGGCCGCCCGCTCATGGCCGCGCGCCCGGCCCCGCGCGCCCCGCGCCGCCCTCAGCGGCCGCCCGCGCCCGCGCCCGCGCCCCCGCCCGCGCCCCCGCCGCGCCCGGCCCGGGGCATGTGTGCGCGCCGCAAAGTTTGGCGGCGGGCGGCCGGCGCGGGCGCGGGCGCACGGCCGCGAGCTGGGGCGCCCCCCGGGCCGGCCGAGCCCCCCGCGGCGCCGCGGCGAGCGCGCCCGGAACGCAGCGGCGGCGGCGGGCCCCGGGCGGCTGGAGCGGCAGCCGCATGTGCGAGCCCCGGCGCCTGCCAGAGCGCTGGGTCATTTAATTGGGGAGGAGGGAGGCGGGGCCGGCGGCGCGCGGAGGGGAGGGGAGGGGAGGGGAGGGGGAGGGGGCCGGCGGGCGGGGAATCCCTCCCTCGCGCCCTCCCCGCCCGCCGCCGCCGCCGCCGCCTCCCCCCGCCGCCCCCCCCCCGCGTCCCAACTGCGCACAATGGCGCGCCGGCTCCTCTATCTATTTTGTGTCCAGCCGGGAGCCGCGCAGGATGATTCATGGCCCCAATTAGGGCTCCCTCCCGCGCCCGGCTCGAGCCGTCTGAGGGGCTCCTCGAGGACCGCGCGGCCCCGTCCGCGGCGGGCGCTGCTCGGCGAGGAAAGGTCAAGCAGGACGCGGGAGGAGCCAGGTGAGGCCACGCGGCGCCCCCGAGACGCAGGAGCCCGCGAGGAGCCCTCGGGAGGGGAGGCCGCCCGCCCGCGTCTCGCCCCAGGTGCAGCCCCTCCGCGCCCGAAGCGGGAGGGGGCGAGCGCATGTGGGCCCTCGACAACCCGGGCAGCCTGGCTGGAGAGCCACTAGGGCCCGGGGTGCCAGTTGTGGAGACAGGCGGCTGCAGAGCTGACCCCCATCTCCTGGGACACATTAGGGAGCCACCAGCGAGGCCACAGAGCGCGCAGCCGGCCACACCCCTCCCCTCCCACCCAGCCCCGCACTGGCAGAGGCAGAAGAGTCCCGTGGGTCTCGTGCCGTGTGTGCCAGGGCGAGTGACGCACCAGCTCTGGTCCTCTCCTTGTTGAACAGGGCCTCTGTCTGGTAGGGGCCTGGCCTTTCTTTGTGTTTATCAGGTGTGCTGTGTTTACTTAACAAACACAGAGAGAGAGGCCTTAATCTTGTGCCAGGTGCCAGCTAAGAGTGCACATCCATCTACCCAAAACTCTGGCTTGAGTGCCATTACTGGCCCATTTTACAGAGGGCAAAGAGGAGCGCTGAGTTTTCGGATAGGAGTGACATGGCTGGGATTCTTGCCCACGCAGGCCGGGTCCTGGTCCCCGCTCCCAACTTCCCTAGGCAGACATCTGGTCCCTGTCACCCCTCCGCTGATGGAGGCTGTCCATGGCAGGGGACCTGGCCAGGACCCCTCCCCATGACTCTAGCTCAGTCTGGGGGGGTCTTGTGCAAATCCTGCCCTCTCTGGGCCTCACGTTTCCCAACTGTGACACGCCACCCCGTCCAGCTTCAAAACTCGAGGAGTCTCTGATTTCTGAACAGTTGACAGCCGTCCTGACCTGCCAGCTGGAGCCCAGAGTCAGCCTGGGGACAAAGGTGCCAGGGGGGCCCCTCTGCCCTCTGGGGCATTGACATGTAAATAAAATGAGGCTTCCTCTTGGCATGCTGGAGGGCCGTGCATTATAAATAAACGGAACAAGAGAAAAGGGCCACCTCTCTGGAATCCCTGGTGAATGTTCCAGAGGTCACAGTCCAGGGGTTAACAGGAAAATCATCATCCTCACCAGAAACGCAGGGCTGTGGGCCCTCACCCAGGCCCAGGAAAAAGCTGCATCAGCAAGACTGTCGGAAAAGAATCTTGGGGGCAGGGTGGAGAAGGGGAGGCCTGGCTTCTGGCAATTTTAATACCTGGGGATTGGCTGGGACTAATTAGGCCAACTTTAAAGGCAGAGGTCTGTTCCATTGTGTCCACACACAACTTCTGAGCCCCACACAGACCGCGAGGCTGCTGCTAAGCCCGTGCTGCTCCAAAAGGCCGGTCCTCCATTGCTTCCACTTCAAACGTCTTTCCAGGCTCTCTTTGCAAAGCCAACTCATCGCTCTGGTCTTGGCTGCACCTTCTCCCCTGAGAGGCTTCCTGTCTTCTCCAGCGCGTGTAGGTCCCCTGTTATTCTCTGTCTCAGTTCACCGGCTTCGGAATTTGCCATTGATTTTATTTATTTTCCTGTCCACTGTTCCCGGTCTGGCTCCCCCAGGCGCCTGGGCGCTCCCTCCCGAGGGCAGGAACCAGGTCTGTCTTGCTCACCATGTGTCCAGGGTTGGCTCAGCACCTGGGCCCCACACACCTGGTCTCAGTGCTCTTCCACCCCTGGAGCTGTGTGAGGCTCGCAAACCTCTGGGCAATGAATGGGTTGTGACTCCCAGGACTTTTGTGTGCGGACCATACATGGCAGAGAGCAATGCCAGGGGCCTGGTACCTGTGGGTGACTGTGTGTGTGTGTGTTGACCCTTCCTGGCTCCATCCAGTGGTTGAGGAACTTCTGCTGCTGCCAGTCTGTGTCCAAGGTGAGGGGGCACAGATGAGGTGGCATGCAGAGTCTGAGGGAGGAGGGCCACAAGGTCAACAGGACAGAAAGAAGCAGGCAGAATTCGCTTGGCTAAGCTGCGATCCTCCGGGAAAATTTCCAGTTACAGTGTGTCTGTGTACACCTGTGTGTGCATATGTGTCGCTGTGCATGCATTCAGTGAGCGTGCGTGTGGCGTGTGTGTATGCAGTATTGGTTGTATATATGTGTTTATGCCTTGTGGGTGCATGTGTTCACATACGTGAGCTTCGTGTGTCGGCGGCGGCAGAAGGGAGCAAGTGGATGGTTGTGGTTCTTTCTATGACCCAGTGTCTCGGGATAGCCCCTGGCCCTCCCTTGGGAGCCAGGAAGCAGGTGAGCACAAGTCAGAGGAACAGGTGTCCACTGATGCCAGCCGGTCATCTGTGGATGGGTGACTTAGGCATGGGGTCCTTGGCATGGCCTGACACACAGATGAACATCGCACCTTTGCCATTTACTAGCTGTGTGACCTGGGCCTGCTACTTAACCTCTCTGAGCCTCAGTTTCCCCATCTCTAAACAGTGTGCCCCATACTTTTGGGTCTGCCTTACACATGTGGACTCAGTGAATCTTCACAACCAGCCCATCAGTGGGCTGTTACCTGCCCGGTTTATAGGTGACGACCCTGAGGCACACAGAAGGAAAGTCAGCGCCCAAGGTCACCCCGGGTGCTGGAGTCCACACAGGGTGTCTCTGCCACCCCTGGCTTTCTTAGCCATTAAGAACCGCTTTGCTCTGAATCCCACCATGCCAGCTTGTCAGGGCAGGCGCCACAGAGGGTCCACCCCCCTTCCCCGTGTGTCCCCAGTGTCACATATAAGGACACTGAGGCCCAAACAGGTTTGTGTCTGGACACAAAACAGTCCAATTATGTGCCCAAAGATGAGGAGAAGAGTCAAGACCCGTTCGTAGTAACTCAGGCACCGAAACAGACTTGAACTAACTATTCCAAAGGGGAAGATGCAACAGGCGCCAACAGGATCCTGGGCGGAGCAGAGGCAGCTCCTTGCTCCCCAGACACCCCAGGCCGCCCTGCTGCGGGAGAGGAGCTGTGCTCGGGCCGAACCTAGCTCTTCACATCTGCACCCTGAGGCTCCACATGGTGTGTGTGCAAAGCAGCTGCAGGTGCTCCCCGGGACGGCCACATGGGAAGAACCCGTCAGCCTGGACATCTCAGCGTTGCAGCTGGCTGTGGGGTCCTCTTGACCCAGATGACCTAGGAACCACCCTCCCCTGCTCGCCTGGAAGGGCTGTTTTCCAGCCCCCAGCGCCTATTTCTTTGTGTGTCTCTCTGGGGCCTACCCCTGTCCTGGACAGAGCCTGGGTCTGCCTTCGCATTGCCCCGTGTGTCCCAGGCCAGGGGTGCTACGCTGCCCCTGC